TGCCTAGCGTCTTGATATTTAAATTTTTTTTTATTCTTAGTGGACTAAAAAACTGCATACATAAAAATTCTGAACAAAAAGTTTAAAATTTTTAGGTTAATTGTTAAGGTTTGTTGAATTTTTATAATGTTTGTAAGAAGTTTGAAATGTAGATTTATGTGGTTCTGGTTAGGAAATGTGCTAGACTTTTATAAAAAAAAACTATAAACATAAGATTAACAAAATATATATTTATAATGGACGGTATATAGATAAAGGACGGTATATAGATAATGGACGGTATATAGATAATGGACGGGTCCGCGCATCCCGCTCCTCCTCCCCTGCGTCCACCTCAATAAACAAATAAAGCTTATCAGCCCTGTAAACCTATCTCTGACAACTGTCCCACACATAGCTGTCTAACTATGTGGAAACGACAATGAAATTGTGGTAAATATTTGCAATTAATTTCTAACATTATGTAACAAACACGAAACACAACCTCAAATTCTGTAATTAAATATAACAACTTTTAGCTTCTTTTGTCACGGGTGGGACAAGACCAATACTGCTTAATAATAACTCATAATATAAATAAAGCAGTCGCACAATTTAATATATAACACAATTTTATTAAAAACAGATGAGTTCTACTTTATATTTTTCTTACCAAACACTTGAATCATGAATCGCAAATTATTTGACGTTAGTCAAGTTAGCACTACACTTTTCGAAATTGGAAAAGTTAACGACGGCATTAATTGTAGTGTTTTTGATTTAAATTTGTTGTGGAAAGAAAAAATTTGTAGCTCTCATTTTTAAAAAATATGGTATGTACTCCTAACTTATAACTAACCGATATAATTGAGATATTGAAAATGTTATAACGGCATTAATTGTAGCTTTTTTGTTGTAAATTTGTTGTGGAAAGAGAAAATTTGTAGCTCTCGTTTTTTAAGAAAAAATGGTATATAGTGCTAACTTGACGCCATACACCTAGTCGAAGGAATGGAGATATTAAAAATGTTATAACGGCATTAATGGTAGCTTTTTTTGTTGTAAATTGGTTGTGGAAAGAAAAAACTTGTAGCTCTCGTTTTTTGTAGTCAAGTTAGCACCATTTTTTCTAAAAAACGAGAGCTAAAAATTTTTTCTTTCCACAACAAATTTACAACAAAAAAAGCTACAATTAATTCCGTTGTAACCTTTTCTTTATCTCAATTCTGTCGTCCATGGTGCATGGTGTCAAGTTAGCACTACATACTAAATTTTGTTCGAAAAAGAGTCAACTAAATTTTTGTCAGAAAAACGAAAGCTACAATTTTTTTTCTTTCCACAACAAATTTATAATAAAAAAGCTACAACTAATTCCGTTATAACATTTTCAATATCTCAATTCTATCGAGTAGGTGTATGGTGTCAAGTTAGTACTACATACCACATTTTTTTAAAAATGGGAGCTACAAATTGTTTCTTTCCACAACAAATTTACTTTTCCAATTTCGAAAAGTGTAGTGCTAACTTGACACACGTAATTATTTGACAGTGCATTCAACACAACCTTCTTTAAACTCAATCAAAAAATTTACTTATAACTTGATTTCAAAACGTAAAAAATTTAATAAAAATGCATTTAAAGCTTTAATTTGTTATTTTTTGGTTGATTCCAGATTTTTGCAAATGTCTTATTATTCACACGTTTGCTAGTTTTATAAGGAAAATAATTTTTGCACTGAGGTTCACTTTCCCATGGAACCTCCCATTTGTCTTATTCTATGCCAAAATTCTACTTCACATTCCAACTTTCAATAATTTTCATCCAGTATATACGAAAACATAGTACTTTGTGCATTTCCCGATAATATATGAGCGATTCTCACAAACTTCGAGTATTTTGTGATTTTTTTTTTTCTTTAATCGTGAGCCGAAAATTTTTAGTATACTTTCCTTCATCTGCTAGAATACAAAACCCAACGTGGTGCAACAGTTTAAAGCAAGGCACTATACGTTTTTAACGTTTTTTAAGCAGTTTTTTTTGGAAGTGGAAAATGGGCATAATTTTAGTGTGCGTTTCCAAAATTTTTAACGTATAGCTTTTTTATGCCAGTGTCAATAATTGCAGCGAGTTTGGTAAAAATTGATAAATCAGTTACCGATATACATACACATACAGTGAACCGATAAAAACTGGGGCACGATATGTTAGTAAGTCTTGGCTATTTTTCTTTATTTTTTTTTTAATGTTTATTATGTTTTTATGAAAGTGTAGCTGATTAACAAACACGATATAAATCCATATTTCAGACTTTATGTCAAAATTATGAAAATTCTGTTTAACCGAAATTTCTAACTTCTTTATCAGCATCTCTAGACAAAATTTTGATATTCAGTTTTAAAGCCCATCAAATTTTAGCAAAGAAAATTGCTACCGTTGATTTTTGGAATTTTTTTTTTACTCACGGTAATTAAAAAAAAATTTCGAACATAAATTACCAAAAAGCAACGGCATGTCCTAGCATCTACAGCCCAAGCTCTTTCATTTGGCACCTCATTTTCGAAAATCGAACAAACGGTGCAGATTTGATGACATGGACAAAAAATACCTTTGGGTATTATATGTATATATTGTTTTTTTTGGGGTTTTTCTTATTTCTTTTTCGCTCTGTAATTTTTTGATGAACAAATAAAAAAGTGATGCACGAGATCATAGTTCAATAGTATATTGTATAATAGAGCATACACGTATTTGGCTAAATTTTCCAATTGCGGACGATGTGCTAATAAAAAATATGCATTTTTATTTTTGTGCACGCATCCTAACCTTTTAAAGAAGTTGCGTTTTTACCAGAGACCCAGAACAATAATTATTTCATGGTGGTGTTTTAAAAAGGTCATCAAAATTTTCGCAAGAATTATAAAAGTCTTTTGATAATAATTATGTGTGAGAAAATTTTTTTAAGTCATCGATAACTATTAT